GAGGGGACAGGGTGGAGGGGACAGGGTGGAGGGGACAGGGTGGAGGGGACAGGGTGGAGGGGACAGGGTGGAGGGGACAGGGTGGAGGGGACAGGGTGGAGGGGACAGGGTGGAGGGGACAGGGTGGAGGGGACAGGGTGGAGGGGACAGGGTGGAGGGGACAGTGTGGAGGGGACAGGGTGGAGGGGACAGGGTGGAGGGGACAGGGTGGAGGGGACAGGGTGGAGGGGACAGGGTGGAGGGGACAGGGTGGAGGGGACAGGGTGGAGGGGACAGGGTGGAGGGGACAGGGTGGAGGGGACAGGGTGGAGGGGACAGGGTGGAGGGGACAGGGTGGAGGGGACAGGGTGGAGGGGACAGGGTGGAGGGGACAGGGTGGAGGGGACAGGGTGGAGGGGACAGGGTGGAGGGGACAGGGTGGAGGGGACAGGGTGGAGGGGACAGGGTGGAGGGGACAGGGTGGAGGGGACAGGGTGGAGGGGACAGGGTGGAGGGGACAGGGTGGAGGGGACAGGGTGGAGGGGACAGGGTGGAGGGGACAGGGTGGAGGGGACAGGGTGGAGGGGACAGGGTGGAGGGGACAGGGTGGAGGGGACAGGGTGGAGGGGACAGGGTGGAGGGGACAGGGTGGAGGGGACAGGCAGGAGGGGACAGGGTGGAGGGGACAGGGTAGAGGGTAGAGGGGACAGGGTAGAGGGGACAGGGTAGAGGGGACAGGGTAGAGGGGACAGGGTAGAGGGGACAGGGTAGAGGGGACAGGGTAGAGGGGACAGGGTAGAGGGGACAGGGTAGAGGGGACAGGGTAGAGGGGACAGGGTAGAGGGGACAGGGTAGAGGGGACAGGGTAGAGGGGACAGGGTAGAGGGGACAGGGTAGAGGGGACAGGGTAGAGGGGACAGGGTAGAGGGGACAGGGTAGAGGGGACAGGGTAGAGGGGACAGGGTAGAGGGGACAGGGTAGTGGGGACAGGGTAGAGGGGACAGGGTAGAGGGGACAGGGTAGAGGGGACAGGGTAGAGGGGACAGGGTAGAGGGGACAGGGTAGAGGGGACAGGGTAGAGGGGACAGGGTAGAGGGGACAGGGTAGAGGGGACAGGGTAGAGGGGACAGGGTAGAGGGGACAGGGTAGAGGGGACAGGGTAGAGGGGACAGGGTAGAGGGGACAGGGTAGAGGGGACAGGGTAGAGGGGACAGGGTAGAGGGGACAGGGTAGAGGGGACAGGGTAGAGGGGACAGGGTAGAGGGGACAGGGTAGAGGGGACAGGGTTACACAGTAAGGTACAGCTCAGAAGTGTTTTTCGTAAGTACCCCCCCCCCCCGGGCCCCCCCCCTCCCCCCACACACACACATACACTGCTACCACTATGTCATATTCTCATAGAGGCTAAAGAATAGGTTCGCGCTAGGTTGGGAGGGCGGTGGGGGTGAGGCTGGTTCCTGCAGCGGTAGTGCACACATAACAATTGACCGTGAGCTCTCACTTTCGCAGACGAACGGTCGAGGCTCGCTCTGCCCGAACTCCGGGTGGCGGGTGGTCCCTGTATCGCCATCCGGCCTAATCAGACAATCATCCGTGAGAATGGCAGCGCCTGTGTTGACGTCGCAACCCCGCCTCGTCCAGATTGGCAGCTGCGGTCTACCAAGGCTTCTGAGCAGCCGCAGAATGCAGACGTCGTTTGCAGCACTGCTGCGGGCCAACATGCCGCGGTTCGCCTGGCAGAACTCGGCCGATTCGTTGCGGGTCAGGCCGAGGGATCGATAGTAGAAACTGCGGTCATTGCATGCAGGCAAGATTGCGTCGAACCCGCCTGCGGGAACGGAGAACACAGAAATAAATTGATCTATAGCAAAGAAAAGAACCAAGGAACTACAAGTTACGCTATACTGTCCACGAATACCACCAGTTACTAGCTGATGTCATAACATTGCACGACACTGACCGGCGGTACTGACGGTCTACAACTAACTGCCAGTCAGCTCTAGTACGTCTTGGATGCGTACTCGAGCAGCCTTCTAATTTAGAAGGTTCTAAGCCATAGTAATAACATAAGAGGGGATTAAGCAGATTAAATATGCAAAATATTATGCACCGCAGGCGCGTGCCCCGGTGCCCTTGAAGGGGGGGGGGGCGTTCCGGGGGGCCTCCCCCGGGAAAATTTCCAAAAATGAAGCAAAATCCTGCATTTTGAGCGAACAAAATGGGGGTTCCGGGCACCCAGGAACCCATACGGCGCACGCGCCTGCACCGTAAACAGGGGACTTGAGCCTAAAACTGAATACAACGAGGCCAAGAGTCAAAGGGAAAGTAATTTTCCTTTTTCCCTCTTTACTTTCTACATGTACAAGTATCTATATCTATTTTACAGTTCTTCAGCCGTGGTTCATTGGCAACTTCATGCTATGGAACGTGGAATACATAAATAAATGTAAAAAAAAGAGAAGAAACACATGAGAACGAGTTATGCAGCAACTATCCACGACTGTAAGAAGATGATAAACAGTCAGACAGTGCGATAATAGGGCACAGAACATTGTGCCCCATTGTGTGATATTATGCCCTATTATCACACTTTCTGACTGTTTATTTGTGTTTGTATTCGTATTTATTCAACATTTCCTGGCTCGTCAAACGTCTGCCAATGCAAATGAATATGAAATGAAGCTTTACCATCTTGTTACAGTCATGGATAGTTGCTGCATAACTCGTTCTCATACGTTTCTTCTCTTCTTTTTAAACATTAAATTTTATTAATGCTCAGTATCCGAGTTAAAATAATTACTTCAACGTATAATAGTTTACCTATCGTGTAAGGGAGCATCTCATTAGTTCGCATTTTTTTCCTAAACGTAACGCATTTCGAAACGGGGGTAGGGGGGTAACGCCCTTTTCGAATAGAAAAATGACAGTTCGCACATTTTCTGCATGTGTACATAATGTGCATGCAGTGCATGTTCTGTAATACTTCAGCAAATGAGTGTGTTTAGGTGTACATCTATATTTTGTACCTGTGTTTGGAGGTCAGCTAAACCTTGCATACACTGCATGCATGCAGGCTACTCAGAGGTGTCAAATGTCACACCAGCCTGATCAAACTGTGTACCTGGCCAGCTTTTACAGAGTCAGTACACTAGTTGTGGAGGAACTCTGTTTATGTGCGTGTACTGTACATGTCATTCATTGTACTTGTACTCAATATCTACAGTTATGTAGATGGGGTACTACTGACTACGGTAAGTAGTCTGTATGCCATTCACTTTGACATTCATGTCCATGTACAGTGTACATTAATTTTGTACATGTGCATACCATGGCATGCATGGGCATGGACATGCACAGTACAGTATTAGATCCACACGGATAATGTGCGATAAGACTTTCGAATAGAGGGGGGAGGTAGGGGGGTAAAGTCTATTCGAAATGCGTTACGTTTACAAAATAAGTGCGAACTTATGAGATGCTCCCTAACTGTGTATTCGTACCTCGAATCCGCGTGCGAGGTCTATTCCGCTGACATAAGTACGGCAAAGGCTGCGTGCATACTCCGTTGCCAATGCCCGTGCCGCTTACGAGAGACTCCCAGAAGCCGCAGCGGCTGTCTGCGGACGACGATGGCGTGCCAGTGATCCACCGCACAAGGTTACTGCCGGTTGCGTTGACTGCGTGCGGCTGCAACGCATTACCGCTGGCGGGCCAACGAAACGTGCCGAGCTTGTCGAAGCTGTTCATGCCCACGTGAACGCGGCTGGACACGGTGCAGCTAGATCCCATCAGGGCGTTGCATGCGCACGCCAGATCTTCGCCGGTGCTCACCGTTGCCAGGTGACCACCGTCGTCACGACAACGCCGCTGCGCCTGGTACCAGTCTAGAGGCGCGTCGAGCTCAACGCCCATCTCCACACCGTCCAGCGGTGACGTCGGGCATTGCCTATACGTAGCCACTGCAGCAGCAGCAGCAGCAGCAGCAGCAAGGCAAAGTACAAAGCAAGAGACTGACCCACACAATCAAGAACGCTACGCAGCTACAGTTCTTTTCACAATATGCGCACACTTCACTGTAGCCATCCATTTTATCGTCACGTCACCACGGTTCTAGCCAGGTCAAAATAGTACGGGCATGGAAAACAGTTACCCTGTATCCCATTTTTCCACTTTCCAATATTGTCTTGCCACGTTAACTGCAACGTTTGGGGCAAATCTCCGACTTCACCCCAGAGAAATGTGCCTTTATGAACCATTTAATAGTGACTTTCGACCGCATTTTTATTGAAAAGCACGAAAATCGGAAAATGAGTACGGGGCGGCACTTTTTCACAGGGACGCGCTAACAGAGTGGGGGCTGCGCCCCCTACCCCCTTTGGCTAGAACCCTGCATCACTATCAAATTATATATTTTTTTTCAGTGATTGCAGGGTGTAGCCCAGGGACTGCTTTGGAGAGTCTGTTGTGAAGCTACAGTCCTGCTACAGTGCTGCTACAGTGCTGCTATAGTGCTGCTACCGTGCTGCTACAGTGCTGCTACCGTGCTGCTACAGTGCTGCTACCGTGCTGCTACCGTGCTGCTACAGTGCTGCTACAGTGCTGCTACAGTGCTGCTACAGTGCTGCTACAGTGCTGCTACAGTGCTGCTACAGTGCTGCTACCGTGCTGCTACCGTGCTGCTACAGTGCTGCTACAGTGCTGCTACCGTGCTGCTACAGTACTGCTACCGTGCTGCTACAGTGCTGCTACAGTGCTGCTACAGTGCTGCTACAGTGCTGCTACAGTGCTGCTACAGTGCTGCTACCGTGCTGCTACCGTGCTGCCACAGTGCTGCTACAGTGCTGCTACCGTGCTGCTACAGTACTGCTACCGTGCTGCTACAGTACTGCTACAGTGCTGCTACAGTACTGCTACCGTGCTGCTACAGTGCTGCTACAGTGCTGCTACAGTGCTGCCACAGTGCTGCTACCGTGCTGCCACAGTGCTGCTACCGTGCTGCTACAGTGCTGCTACAGTGCTGCTACAGTGCTGCTACAGTGCTGCTACAGTGCTGCTACCGTGCTGCTACAGTGCTGCTAAAGTGCTGCTACAGTGCTGCTACAGTGCTGCTACCGTGCTGCTACCGTGCTGCTACCGTGCTGCTACCGTGCTGCTACAGTGCTGATACAGTGCTGCCACAGTGCTGCCACAGTGCTGCTACAGTGCTGCCACAGTGCTGCCACAGTGCTGCTACAGTGCTGCCACAGTGCTGCTACCGTGCTGCTACAGTGCTGCTACAGTGCTGCTACAGTGCTGCTACAGTGCTGCTACCGTGCTGCTACAGTGCTGCCACAGTGCTGCCACAGTACTGCCACAGTACTGCTACAGTGCTGCTACCGTGCTGCTACAGTGCTGCTACCGCGCTGCCACAGTGCTGCTACAGTGCTGCTACAGTGCTGCCACAGTACTGCTAGAGTACTGCTACAGTGCTGCTACCGTGCTGCTATAGTGCTGCCACCGTGCTGCTCAATGAAATTCCGCTGCGTGAATCACGTCTGCTCCCTGAACCAGTGCAAAAAAAACCCAGTGTTCACAGGTCTGGGGCTGCATTGGCAGCACCCAGCGTTACATCGACTCGCGCCATTGGATTTCATGGAGCAGCATGGTACACATTTAGGAAATTTCACTTCTCAACTCCAAACTCCAGACGGTATCCTTACTGCGATTCAAATTCAAATTTAGATTACACCGCATTTTCGGGCCTGGCCCATCATCAGCGAATTAAATTTGGATTCGAATCGCAGTGAAGAGACCGTTTTTGGAGTTTCGAGTTGAGAAGTAAAAGTTTCCTAAAATTAATGTGTAAATGGCTGGTTTGGAGTTCACGAACAATTATTAGAAAAAGCATGGTACATGTACAGAAAAAAACTCCCCAGATCCGGACGTTCCTGATATGGGCATGTACCGTCTACTGGGCACCTTTCTGACCCAGGTACAGTCACAACAATGCATGGCTTTTGACCAAACAAACAGCACAAAAACAGTCGTACTGATTGGCATAAGAATCTTTACATGCGTGCAGTATGTACAGTAAAACCTGTCAAGGCGACCACTCGGATAAGGCGACCACCTGTCCTGGAAGACCACTGCAACCAGGACCAAGGGATGCTATTTCCAGTCAATTGACCCTGTGTAAGGAGACCACCTGGTAACAGAGACCACGCTTTGAAGGTCCCATGAGCGGTCCTCTTAGACAGGTTCCACTGTATGCTAGTGTGTAAGTTATAATTTATTAGTTCTGAGTTATGGGCACTTTCTAGTTATGGTCAGTGCTCCGTCCCAACCTGCCCGGATGGCTGGGGAGCTTTACTGTGCGAGCTTGAACACGGCCCTTTCCGTGTCTATCATGTCAACAAGCAGACAAACAGCCCACTGCCGTCCTACCCTAGGTTTGCAAACGCTAGAAAGTGTCCGATATTCGGCGACAACAACCGGACTAAAAATGCTTGATGCACGTCGTTGTTTTACCATCGTGACTTCTCATGCATGCGCGGTGACCGATGCGCCGATAATGGTAACTCTACACTCTACACGTGCTTGCGCACGTGGCTCGGACTTCGGCATGCATCGCACAGCCGTCAACCGCCGTGAACCGGCATCTTCCATCAACTCCGCGTTCCGGTCGCCGATAATATTGTAGAACCACGCCAAAAGAAAGTAGTGGGCAGGCGATAGCAAGCGCCACGGGTTTTACCATGCTTACAGCATTCGAACAACAGCTCGATGGCACCCTTTGGCCGCGTTGGACTTACCTCCACGACATGTCGACGACAGCAAACCTAGAAATAGGAATTTGAGAGCGACATTCGCGAACACCACCTCCATTGCAGCGCGGGGATTCTGCTCAAGCCCTACTCCAGAGTTTCACCAACACTTCAAACTGCCTCAGCTCATGTCAGGTTCCGGGGGTGAGATTCCATGAGCACTCGGCATCCGATGCGACGGTTTCCACATCTGTACCCGATGTTGACCAAGGATCTGGCCAACGCCAACGCCTAGTATGGGACAATGGGCTGTCGACAACCCCCGCTTTGTGTCGCCCACGACAGTCGACGTGTGTCATCATCGGCGCATAGATCAGCTACGGGTAGATCTACTTCTACTACTACTAGTACTAGTAGTTCTAGTACCAAGCGGCGAGGTCAGCTTTGTTCGGAAGGTCGGAAGTGTTCGTCAGAAAGCAAGTGCTTCTCTGATCTGAAGTGTCGCGTTGTTCGGAAAGCTGGCTTGCCTCTCACACTCTCACTGACGCTTTCAGTCTCCGAGCAGTACTGCATACTATAATACTGTGTGTGCAGTCGCATGCACAAAACGGTGCAGTAGCGGCAGAGATGGGATAGAAGCAGCATCAGACTAATCAAATCGAAAATTCGATTTGCTGATGCTCCGTAATGACCGAGAGTCAGATTCGAATCAGAGTGTGATTCTGATTCTGACTCTGATTCTGATTCTGATCTGACTCTGATTCAGAGTCAGATCAGAATCAGAATCAGAGTTAGAATCAGAATCACACTCTGATTCGAATCTGACTCTCGGTCATTACGGAGCATCAGCAAATCGAATTTTCGATTTGATTATTCGAATGGCAAAAAGAAAATCAGAGAGAAAATTCGAATGAAAAAGAGGTTCAGCATGTAGCGCAGTCCAGTATTTTCGAATCGAGTTTTTTAGCTTGAGCAGTTGAGGACTGGGATTTTGAGATGTGCAATGAACGGAGTTGCTGTTGTTTCTCATTGCCTTTGGGGATGACGCGAAGCGGCGGATGCTTCATCCGATTCAGGCTATTGGCGATAGGATCTCTCTTGGAGACCCCTTGAAAAGGCGGATCTCGGCCGAGCTCCTCCGCTATCCCTTGCATATCAGGAGACCCGCGGACGAATAGCTGAGGGTGGGCCCTACAAGATCCATGGTAAGGTCGACCCTCAAATATTTGGCACACTTTGAGTTGCCCTCTCCCTGCGGGGAACTCACCATAGACGCAGATGCCGAGACAACGCCAGCAGGGCTACTGCAGTACTGGGAGCAGGAGGCATACCGGGGCTGGTAGTTGGTGACAAAGCCATGATTCCAGGATACTTGAAATGAAACAAAATGCACACTTGATAAAACTTTTCACAGTTCGAGAGAGAGGAAAGCGTCAAGATTGACAAGAAGTTCGGTTCGACTGTGCCTTGTGCACTGACATGTACAACTACGACTAGTACTTTAGTAAGAACTAGTAGCTACATGCACAAGAATGAGTACTCGTAGTGCGCCGTGTACTAGAGCACGCGCGGAGCATTCGAGAAGTATTCGAAAAGTATTTTCTGTTTGCGGGCATTTTTCAGTCGAACAAAGCCCTAGTTTCGACTGATTGAGTGCTTTTCGTGACGATTCTCGAATTTCACTCGAATATTCGATTTGCTGATGCTCCGTATTGAGTCCTAGTACTGTCGTAGTACAATGAGTATGACTGTTCTGAAGTCTGAAGAGCCAGCTACTGACACCATGGACACTAGTACTACTAGTAGTAGTACTAGTAGTAGTACTAGTAGTAGTACTAGTAGTAGTAGTACTAGTAGTAGTACTAGTACTTAGTAGTAGTACTAGTAGTAGTACTAGTAGTAGTACTAGTAGTAGTACTAGTACAACAAGTGAGAGTAGCGTGGGTCGGCTGAGCCTAGGCCTTGACAGATTATGCTAGCATAATTTTTCGCATAATTCCTACCAAAATCGAATAATCGCATAATTCGAGGCAAATTGCATACGAATCGCATAAAATTGGAATAATCCGCCTGTTCGCATCAAATTCCATACAATTGTACATGTTCTACAAGTACAAATACAAGTAGATGCACCAGGAAGGCGTAGGTTTACGACTCCCTTGATAACATGTCCAGTCCACTACACAATCAGTGACCAGGGTGACGGTCGTAGCTAGGTCGGACGGTGCGTTGACCCCGTTGAACTGTTGCTACTACAGCACAACGCCCTCTGCAAAAAAAATCACCTGTTATTTTGCACAAAACCATCATACATTAGCAGCATACATGTATGTGAGCATAATGCGGCATAATATGATAACTTTTAGCATAAAATTGGCATAATTCTGCAATTTTTTCAGCAATGCGAAAAGCATAATTTCACGAAAATATTAGCATAATCTGTCAAGGCCTAGCTGAGCCACCATGAGGGTGACCTGGGTGGGACCTTGGCCTTGGCGGATAGTGGCTGCTCGAAAACTTGGCAGATTCGGCTAGAAAAGCAATGGCAGAACCATACAAACCTTCCTTTTGCCATGCACTCAGAGCAAGCAGCACTCTATTAAAATTTGTATCATAGTATTCATACTGTACATATACATGTACATGTACATCAGGAAAATGATTGTACCAAACAATACATGCATGAAACATTTTAAGACATACCAGAAGAAACGGACCTACATTGTACATGTTTTCGGATTTTGACAGCATGTTACAAGGCGAGGACGCGTAGTGCTCCTGACTACAACCATAACCCGGTTGGCAGAGTCCCGGTCTTGCGACCATTTGAACCGTATTGGGAAAACCCAGGTTCGGACCCTCGTTACTCTAGGAGTTGGTTGGATTTTTAGAAAATTTCGTTTTTGTGTTGTAGAAGTAGGCACCGGCGGATTATGCTCGCGAAATCATGGAATTATGCTAGCTTTGATAGATTCTCGCATTATGCTCGTAAATTCCTCATATTATGCTTTGGCACCCGGGGATATATTTGTTGTACTTATGGAGCCTCAAAGTTCGGAAAATTGTGCCTTTTCGTACTTGCAAGTTGCAAGTGGCCCTAAGTACAACAAAATACATGAGTATCCCCATATCAACGTCCGCCGGTCGTTCCCTGAAGGAGTGCTGGACACCTGGAATCAGTTGCCTCGCCAACACCTCCTGGATCAGCCCGACCAGAAGAGGTTGCAGTCCTTCAAGTGCAGCGTCCACCGATTCCTGCGCTCGAGCCACTGGGACTG